GAGTATTGTAGGGATTCAGAGAGAAGTGAGCGTCATCCAACTTGGAGGAAGGGATCCCGTGCAAGGGTTGGTGGGATCCCGTCGGCGTCACGCCAAGGCTTCCGCTGCTGGAACCCACACTCTGCTCGCGCTTGGAAGTCGTTGACAGGGATGAGGACGATGGCGCCGGTGCGGGGTTAGCGGCGGCACCGCCGGCCGTGTTAGGGTCGGCAACCTCCTCCTGCATCAATTTCTTCTGAGCGGCGGCCAGTTCCTTGTGTTCCTTGAGGGCCTGTTTGAACTCCTCCTCGTTGGGGTAGACCTGCGAGACGACTTCCTGGATTTGCACCTCGACCATGAGTCGCAACGTGCGATAGTACGTCTCCACATGGCAGTGCCGCATGACCGGAGGGATATCCGCACACTGCATCACGATGACAGACCCGTCCTGCAGGCGATTGCTAGCCAGGTCCCCCTTCAGCGGATCCAGTGCCCGTACCAGCATTCCCTTGGTTTCCTCAAAGTATCGGATCTTAGGTGATGCCGTGTAGGTGTCTTGACTGTAGGGCAGCCCCATAAGAAAAAAGAAGAGGGATTCGCAACTGTGCAGCGTCGCAATGCGATCGAGCAGAAGGGAGCCGAGGTAGCGAACCGCGCTAGAGGTGTGGTCGAAGAACTTGAAAAAGAGCAACACCCGATCCACGCCGATTTTGGAGAGTGTGGGCTTGGTGAGGGTCGCGGCGGGGGGCAGCCCGGTGGGACCTCCATCGAGGTGTACCTCGCGCACCGGCAGCACCTCGGCAGGGGTGCTGCACTGAAATATCAACTCCTCAACCGGCTGGAGGGGGTCCAGGGGGATGTACAGGCGACTTTCGTAGAGCGTGCACTTGAATAGCTGCGGCGGAACCTCTTTGTGGCCCTGCGTTACGATGATTTGCACCTTACAGGAGTGTATGTAGAGCGCCTCCACGAGCACGGACAGGCCGCGCAGCATGGTGGGGGCTCGCAGGACCACATTGCAGATGCCCTTCGACGCGTCGTACGCAAATCGCTTCATCAGCGCATGGACGTCCGCCGCTGGTGGAAGGAAAGGGGGCACCGGCATCGGCTCCTGAAGGTAGACACATATGGCCATCGGTTTTTCCTGCTCACTAGATGTAAGGTAGTTGGACAGGGTGGTGAGTCGTCGTAGGCTTTCATGATGCGTATCCATGGGGATGGCGGGGCGAAAGCCGCGTGTATTTGTCCACTGCCACAGGCGACAAGAGGTTGGCTTCAGACCACGCCTCTCGAAAACTGGTTCCGCGGCAATTGCTTCATACACCGTGCTCAGGGAGGCTGTCTTTTTGAACTCCAGCACACACGAGGTAAAGTTTTTAACTACACGAAGGTCCCGCGAGAAGAGCTCAATCTGGTGGACAGCACAGTATTCCGCCAGGTTCTCGTTTGTGATAATGTACAAGGTCACGAGCTGCTTGAGCTCCTTTTCGAGCTTAGCACAGCGCTCCTCCTCCTCCATCTCGCGGCGCATGGCATCCTTCACGCGTTGCGCGATGATATCCGTCGGTGGAGAGGCCAGAATCGTCGGCGCATCCGCATGCCGCACGTAGGAAAGAATATACGCGTTAGTATCGTTGGAGGATCCCCCCCGAGAGAACCCACCGGATGCCTGATGGTATCCACCGTAGTTAAAGCCCACGGCGACTTCCTCTGCCACAGCACGAACTTTCTCATCTTCGAACTCCAACCATCGCGTAAAGCATTGCTTCACAGGGTCCCACTCTCGGATGTAGCAGTAGTAGTGCCCGCTGCGGACCGTGCCGCGGTGCACGATGACCCCCTGCAGGTCGTATATCGCAGGGGAGTCCGTGCTGAGGGCCTTGACCGCGGCGCCACGCTTCGTCTTCATGGTTAGCTCCATCTGCTCTTCAGGGGAATATCCCCTCTCCAGCTCCGTGAGGTCGAGCACGACCGGGAACTCCATCCGCGAATTCACCTTTTTCATCGCCAAGGTCGGAGAGGTCAGATCCATGGCGAAGCGCTTGAGGTGAAACCATGTCACGTAGGGAAATTTCTTATATTCATAACCCTTTTCAGCGTCTTTATAGACTGGAGGCTTCCCCTCCAGCTCTACCTTGTACTTATTATCTCCAACGAGTTGCTCACGCGCCGTAAGGAACTTGATTCCGTCCAGAAGATTCGTGTGCTCACCGAGGGGGACATGAATATCGTAGAAGACATCCTTGCTTCGCGATATGTAGGCTTTATCCAATGTCTCCACGAATTGCTCACCGCGACCTTCGAAGAGCTGGTTGATCGCTCCCTCTGTGACCGTGTCCTTCATATTTTCCTCTAAGTTATCCCGCAGGAGCGTAGCCATTTCCTGAATATCATGTTGCACGAAAAGCTCCCGCTCGCCCCAGCCGAAGGAATCTGTGAGCTTTTTCGTCCGCGCCGGTGTCGTACGCTCCTGCATCTGGAAGAATAACTCCTGAAGTGCCCTGTAGACGCTATTACTGTTGTTTTCGACTGGAATGCGGTATACAGCGGAGCGGAAATAGCCAATGTGGAAAAGCATTTGCAGAAGAGAATTGAGATAGCACGTGCAGCCTTCGTTGATAATTCCCACATAATCCACAGGATGCGCTATCGAAGAAGTACCCCTACTCAGCTTCTGAGTGCCGGGCGCGTCCGCGTCATCGTCTACCGGAGTGTGTGGGAGCCTCTCAAGGCCCATTTGAAGCTCGGGGTTGTTAGTTTCAAGCAGGATCAAATCGCCTTTCCATTGATCATCAGCTTCCTCGTTCTCACGTGGGTCGCACGGCGAGCACGTTTGAAGCACAATGGAGCAATTACTTTGATCGCCGTCGTCGGCATGATCACTG